GGAGGCCATCGCTATTAGGAGGACATTGCTACTAGGGTGGAGGCCATTGCTTTTAGGTTGGAGGCCACTGCTCTTAGGTTGGCAGGTTGGAGACCATCGCTATTAGATTCTTCGATCCCTGTAAGTGCTGGGTGGAATCCATCAGTGCTCAAAGTAGCCGAGCCTCCGAAAGGGTTTGCTTTAGCACTTTCCTTTCTCTCTCCCAGGTCCTAGACAAACAGAACCCCTGCCAAGTTCAGACCGCTGACATGTCTTGCGTGGTTTTCATCATACACACCAATTTGATTGAGGGTTTAACTTCAAGCCTTTCAGACTAATCAAATCCTTTTACTTTCCCACTTTTTCAGATACACATGTCTTCGTTCTTCTCTGCACAGAACTTGGATTTGTTGATTTGGTTATTGGGCTGACCCTCCTTGGATCTGCTGGGCACTGTTTCCAAGTTTTGGCATCTTCTGGAAATTGTCTCAAAAGAAATTGAGTTTTGAAGCGCTGTTTTGACAGCGACTGTTTTTTGCGTAGACCTGGGTGTGCCCCCATGGACAGATGTCCATGACGTAGTCGATTGAAGGTTACCTTCCTTCAAGTACAGCTCACAAAGCAAGGCAACTCTCGAACATTGGTATTTCCTTCTCACTTCTTATTGGTCTCCTAGCCGCTTCCACCAGCTGCGGCTGAGGCCATGTATGCAGAGCACAAACGCTGGCGGAAAGCACAGGGTGACCCAGAATTACTGAAGCGCATATATTCAAAGATTCCCTTTGGGTGACTCGGATGATCCTGTTGAGTGAATTGCGCTGTTGCATCGTAGCAGCTCTTAGTGGCCATTTGCAATTGTAAACGCAAAACATTGATCGTGTTTGGGACACATCGATCAACATGATCCACCCCAAATCCCAGCAGACATGGCCCTTCATGGTGTTTTAGAGTCTTTTAGAGTCTTTAGAATCTTTAGAGCTTAGCTTTGGGAAGTTGGTTGAAGTGTTCCGTGCACTTTGTGTCGGGGTGAACGGCTTCCTGTTTGAGAAGAGCCAAATGTGGGCGATCTCACAGCACTCCGATCAGCACTCCAGGTTTGTTGCCGCTGGGAAGGTGGAAGCTGTCGATGGCACCAAGGTGGATGCCTCAGGAAAGCCCCAAACCACCCAGACTTGTACCATCACCATTGACTATGAACTTGTGTTATCTTGTGTTGATTTTGCCAGGGTTTGTACTTTTTGCGGATTCCTCATCACATCCGAGGTGATGTTGGTCCAGGGTGCAAGATATGAACTCATGACCGCAGAGCCTGAGGATCTCGGGTTTGAAACGAGCTATTTTTACTTGATTACTTAGAAACCACGGAAAACTGTTCAAACAATCAACAATTGCCTTCAGGAGTATACCCTTGCAATTTGCCACATCCTGGATGACATTTTTGCCACGGAAGAGAGCCTTTGCTTGGTTTTTGGAAGTGCATCGTTGTGACCGATTTGACCTCTTGGGTTTGTATGTGTTTGCGTCCCGTGTGAGAGTTCAACCATGTTCGAACGATAAGTTCTTTCCTTTTCTTCTTTGACCTCTCTTTCTTAATGTCAAACCAACAGAAGCCAAAAGAAAGCGACAGAATGCAAGCGCATCGAACCCGACGAGGGTGACTCAAATGCAGCCGGACAAGACCTTTCGATCGCTAAGGGATCGAGTCACGGTGCTCATCGACGTTCGCCGGGGTGAAGGATGGCCCAACCCACCAGCGCCTGCCTAAGAGCATCACAGATGCAGAGTGGACAGATTTCAAGAAGGCACACTAAGTCACTAGGCTTCGCACACCAACATAGAACACAACTTACACATTTATATAATCAGATTTTGCAATTTTGCCCTTGGGCCCTTCTGCTTTTCACCGTCGGAGTGTTCCTGTGGGACGGCTGAGCTTCAGTGAGAGAGAGGGAGAGAGAAGCACTGAGAACAAAAACAAATAAGGGTTATAACGGTTACCGCAGGTGTAGCTGACCAAGCCTCAGAAGTGCTTGAGAGCTCTGAGGCCATGAAACTGTTGCCTTTTCTCCAGTCCTGTGCACGGATCATATCCGCTCATTATCCAGAGCGCCTGTCTCGACTGAAACTGAGACTGCCTAGCAGGTCGCTGTTTGTAAAATACAAAATAGGTACCGCGCAGTGCTCCAATTCTCAGGGTCAATTGAGTCGCTAGTGGGTTGGAGGCCACGGCTAGTAGGTTGGAGGCAACGCTGCCATCCATCACAATTAGGTTGGAGGTCATTGCTATTAGGTTGGAGGCCCGTGGCCATCGCTAACAGGTTGGAGGCCAATACAATTAGGTTCGAGGCTATTGCTATTGTTTGTTTTTTGTGTATTTCTTTTTATTGAGCTTTTTGTTCAAATTCTAATTAACTTGTAGTTAAAGTTAAAATAAAGCTTAATACTAATTCTATTTAATTCTTGTTTCTAATAGCTTACTTGTTACTAGTAGCCCCTAATAGCATCCAGGTTCGAGTCTAGCACCGAGGATCATTTTTCCCGTGCCTCGGGTCGCCATTGTGATTCTGGGCATCATTCAGCGCCTCCTGGACCCAGTGACCTTCAACAAGTTCATCCTGGTGACTGGGGATGACCAAATTGGATCACCATGTAATGCCAAAGAGCTCCAGAAGTATGTGTCCAAGGATTGCTTGCCAGAGCATTCATGGCCCATGTATGAAGATCTTTAGGGCCTACTCAGGTCCCTATTAGGTCTCATTCTGTTGAGCCTCAGCTTTAAGCCAAAATGGTCCGCAAGCTGTGCCGCTTCTTGACTTCCCCGGACTGATGATTGCTTTGCTTGGTCCTGAGTCTTTGAAGAAGTTGTGCAAAAAACATTGGGACCCTACTGGACCACACGCGGTCATCCACATTCCAACTTCATCGTTCGGAGCTTTCTCTTCTCCCAACCTTTGCACTGAGAGACTTGCGCTTTGCACCCACGGCAATTTCTTGGATCAGATTTGGAAGATAGATTCTCTTCAATGAAGGTTAATTACCTGGTTATATAGCTGGACTGGGAACTTGGCGGGGTGTGGGGCTAGCGGCTAGCGGCTATAGGCTATAGTAGGTTTGGTCCGCGCTCCAGAATTCACACATCACAGCCGTAGCTTTTGGAACTTTGCGGTGCGTGGGCACAATGCTGGGTGGAGTTGTTTCACCCAAGCCCCCCTGCAAGTGCTTTCTGTATTTCTTCCAAATCCCAATCCTTCTGTGGCACATGTGACTTTGTTGTCACAAGTTCGTTTGACGTGCCACCAGTGTGTGAACTCGCACGCTCACGCTGAGTGGGGGCAGCGCGGTGAGTGCACACCTCCCACCTGCCTTGCCTGCCTTACCGGCTGAGGAGGCGACGTGTGCGTCCTGACCTTGGCTGTGACCAAAGTACTGTGTATGTAGCCTATCTATCCACACGGGTATTGACCCTCAGAATCCTGACATACTCTCCTGACAGACTTTGTCTCCTTGCGGGCATGCAAGCCTTTGAAGCGGAACAATGTTCTACAAGATGTTTGTTTGGAAACCTTTGCCTCCAACAGCGTGCTCGCTTGCTCAAGGTTGCGCAAGCTGAGTGTCTCTTTGTTGTCACAATGCAGGACTCAGACAAGGAGGCCCGTACACCAGTGTCCTCCTGCAAAGAAACAAAGAAAGCCCCCCCCAGTTTCCCCACTCGGATTATCTTGCAGACTCAGGTCTGTTTCAGCTACATCATAGCTGAGTTTTCCTGACCTTCCGATTTGACACCCTCGGTTTCGGGAGAGGTCAGACTTCGTGCAGCTACGTCCTTGACAAAGCTAGGTGCAACGGTGCGATGTCGACTTCACAGCGTTGATGTGTAGCTCACAGCGTTGATGTGTACACCGTTCTGTCTGGGTCAAGTGTGACGAGAGGACAGTGTATGTACACTCAATGGTCACCCGGTCATGAGGCGGCCGCTATTCACAGCAAATCGTTCCGGCGCCCAGCTGCGCAACCATTTGGGTGCCTACTGGCTGGATTGGGAATTAGGTTGTTCTGTGTAGTGACCACAGAAACTAGGGAGCTGGCGCACACTGCCACGTTGATGTCGGCTTCGCTCCCACGTCTATCTATTCAGCTGCTTCTTCAAATCAGACATTTCCCTTGTCCAAGCATCACGAAATCCATTGTTGTCGCTGTGGCATTGTGGCAGTGCTTGACCGCTGAGCAAGAAAATCTTTCAATAGTAGACATGTGAAACATAGCATAGCTTGCGCCACTTTGTGTTCAGGAAGAGTGGAGCAACTAGTAGAGCAGAAATGACCACTCCCCCGGAGTTAAAGCTGCTTATGGTGTTTGCAAGTTCTCGCAGTTCATGCGTCTTAGCAATGCCTACGCGCCTTCTTTGTACGCGTGGATTCATCAGGTAGGGAGTCGTAGGAAACAGGGAACCACCGAGGTATGCAAGACGTCCTGCCAACACGACCCCCACATGGCAAGGGAAGAGTCGAGTTTCCCACCAGATCACCCGTGTATCCGAATCCAAGCGGAAGCCCTTTGCACCATTATGCGGCAAGAACTGATACCCAAATATACCGAATACGAACAACAAGGGGGAAGAAGCTTGATAAAACTGGGCTTTAGCCTAAGACAATGCACGTATACTTGCTCGCCCCACATTAGCTCGGGCACTTGCTCTCACAAAGTTGCTGCTTAACTAAATTTGGGAAGCCTCACCTTTCACAATGACCGACCTGTGCCCATTCCAAATCTTGACCAACTATGGAAGCTTGAACAAATTCCTGGAAATCTAGTTCTGGAGGGTGCAAGAGGAAGGATTGGCCAACATTTTTGATCTTTGTCCGGACTCTATAAATGTTTATATAAATTGCATCAATTAAATCCGCACTTGATTTTTGATTTTTCTTACCCCGACGCAATACGTGAGTGCAACATTGCAAACACTTTTTATATACTAGATTTGTCACATTGCACTCATGATATGTGTGTGATTGCTTTCGCTGCTGTTTTCTTCGCTCTGAACTCTGGTTTTTCCGTCAGCTTGGATCCAGGCTTCTCATCCAACTTTCTCAGAGTGCAACATGTTCCGTACAATCCCCCTGCTGCACTGGTATCACCAAGGGATGGTAAGGACGCAAGGGGTCGGACGATCGTTCTTGACATGCCCGGCGAGGAAACCACCGAGGTAGGTTTGACCCAAGTTGCGACATGTTGCCACTCCTCCTGTTATTGTGTCTTTTAAAATACGTGTGAAACTGAGTCCTTGCATCCTTTTTCTTGGTTTCAGCTTCAGAAATGGTGAGGCCGAGGCTTTAGCTATGGCTCTTGAAGGTGGGATGAGCTGCCGGGGTGGGAGGGGCTGTGGAGAGGTCTTTTTTAAACAATTAGAAAACTGACAGGTGACGTTTATGCAAACAATGTGCTTCGAAGCCGTGAGCGGCGATTTTTCTTGCATGAAGGGCTCAAAATGGCCTGAAGGGTCAGCACATTTCTCAAATTGTTTCTCTCAGAGCCGTCCTTGGGGAGCCTTGAACTGTATGCCTCCACTTGGTGTGACCTCCCACACTTGCGAGGACACCCAGACTTGATTGGTGGATTTTGTGGTTTGGACCTAGCAGCTACGTAGCAACGAGCAGGCAGAACTTCGCCCACCTAGTGGCTAGTTGCGAGACTATGTGCACATGAGTTGAGTAGGTGCATCTGTGTTTTGCAACACCTGGCTCAGTTGACGGCCGAACAATATTCATTGAATGCTTTCACACGCCCAAGTCGAATTCGAATGTCTATATAGAGCTTTTTGTTTTGGACATTCTCTGTGACAATTCTGACGCCATGCCTCGACCCATCACTGGCAATGCTGGCGGTAGCAGCTTCTCGGCTTGCGGACTTTGCTCGCGACAACTTTCGATCCAATTCTCAAATTCAACTGCCTTCCTTCGCTCTACCACAATTAGACACCTGCATTGATTCACGGGGCTGAACGCCCATAGGAAAATGAACCAGTAGATTGGGAGCGGGAGCTTGATCTCCTAGTGGAAAACTGTCGGTGCAGCGCGTTCATCATGCTGATGCAAACATGACGTCACGGATTTTGACTTCAACACTATAGTCACGGATTTTGAGGCTGGATGTTCGAGCTCACCAAAGAAGTGGAACGCCTACAGCAGCAGATAGAAGGCTTAGGGCACAACAGTCAGGCCCGAGAGCAAGTCTTCATTGCCGAACATGAGTGCGAGTTGCAGGGCAGGACCTGGAAAGCATGAGCAAAAGGAAGAGTGGGAACTCACGCAGGATGTCAATACTTAGTTTCGAGCTTCGAGCTTTCTCTTGTTTGTTTGGGACCTAGCTTGCCAGCCAGGCCTTGCAAGATTTGGTGATGCAAGCCGAAGGCCTTTCAGTGCTCCAGTGCTTTGGCGAGCATGTATATACGTAGTGGGTTCCCCTGACGGAGCTTCGGACACGTTCCGCAGTTTTGAGGCTGGATGAGCCCCACAAGGCACTGTGTGCTGGCCTTGAACGCTTGTTTTGCGTGTGCCCATGCAACTTGCCTCTCTCCAGGAGGTTCGAATTCCAAGCACATCTACCAGCCGCGCCATCCGCTCAAGTCTTCTGAATGGCGAGCCCCGATGGAGTTCTGAGGTGCCTTCAGGGCTCAATTCACATCCTCTCAACAATTGGCCATAGCTATTTGCCATGTGTTCGTTTCGTGAAATAACTGCAGCCCTCCTAGCTGCTACAACATTTGAGTTAAACGTGCCAGGTTGGTCGCTCTGGGTGCTGACCTTGGCTGGAATTTGTGTTGACCAGGACCTTGCAGATGATTCCGCTAGCTTGTGCTCAACAGATGGCCACATTACATTCATGCAGGATCTCAACTGTTCCCAACACCAGACCACTTTACCATGCGAAGCCCAAGCGCATCAGAACATGCAACACCATGCAATATGTCCATTTCAATTTCACACTCCTGTTCCCCGCCGTGCGGAATCATGGACTTGAAAACTGCCTGTCCTGTGCTTGCAGAGCACAGAGCCTCCCCAAGAGCAGGGCCCAAGAGCTGGCAGGGCGGAAGACTTGGAAGCCCTGGCAGGCCTGGCAAAATAGGCCGCGTCACCTGCGCCACTCTGGCCATTTTCACAGCCCCTATCTGGTACCCAAAGAGGCTCCGCCAAAGGAGAAGAGTGTGGGAGCTGAAGGCTTCAGCACGTCCTGTGGATGTGCTGCTGGTGGTTGGAGAAGGTGCATGTCCCTGGGGGGAGGGAGGCACGGAAACTATGGCAAAGGCACTTGGCTTGAAAGGATCAGTGCCGTGGCCTTTGGCCATACAGCATTTGGCTGGGAAACTACGACGAGCAGTCCCAGGTCTCAATGTCCAGGTGAGCACCGAACAAGAAGCAGAACATGCAGCGGAACAAGGTCGTCACCAGATCAAGCTGGTGGCACTCATCAACGTGACAAGCACCACCAGGAACTGGTCGCAAGGTGGTTTGAGTTCGACGCTGGTGTTGTCTTCGACACTTGGCCGGTCGAAGCTGTGGGCACGTAGTGGAGGAGATGGAGATGCAGAGAAGGTCTTGTCTCGATGTGGTGAGTTGTGGTCCAGAGACACGGCTGAGGACTGTTTCTATGCCTTGCTTTTTGCAATCCATTTTTCCGTGAAACCAGTGCCCTTGGTGGAACAAGAGCCACAAATTATCTCCTTGGAGAAGATTTGGCGCCTATGCACTCGATGTTTGAACGAAGCCATGCAGGCAGGCTTAGATGGAGAAGCTCGAGCTTGCTTGGCTTGTCAGAGTGGTTGTGATGTCCGAGATCAAACTCAGATGTACCGATGTACTGTAAGCCATGAGTCTGACGCGTTGGCTCGACTTGTTCGCTGCTTTGAGAGGCGTGGGATTTTTGATTGTGAAGCTGAAATCCCTGAGGTGCCTTTCGAGCCCATGGCGACTTTCAAAGGAAAGCGTTTGACTCAGGAGACGGCGTGGAGCATCATGGAAGGCCATTGGGACTTTAATCCTGAGAGCTGCTCTTGGAGACCTGTGCTAGGGCAAAATCCTGCTTACGACTACTTCCCATGTCAATACAATAGCTGGTACAGAGATCCCAAAGGAAATCGAGGCTGGTATGACCCGGTTTTTAGGGTTATCACCTTAGACGGTCGAGCAGTGTGGCGAAAGCGACATTATCGCGTTCTTCCCGGAAAGCAGCCTGGAAGCTTCAACCTTAGTACCGAGGATAATGGAATTTCTCTGAAGGAGTTTTGGCGTATTGTTGATGCCGATGACAAGCTCACTTGGGCTGTTTTCCACTATGCAGGTGCTGCAAAGTCAGTTGGTCAAAGCTATACGGGATCACTCTTGGTGACCAAAGATGGAACCCTTGGACCTTCTTCGGATTCTCTTCCTGCAGAGCGCATTCGCCAAGCCTTTGAAAAGGCTGGGGTGGCAGCCTTCGAGTTATATGGAATCCAACAGGACACCGGAGATGCTGATGTTGAAAGTGCTCCACTCACAAGGTTTGGTGGCCTTCCCCGGTACAGAGACATGAACAGACCAACCTTGTAGCCATAGTCTTGTCCTTTCGCGCACGTACCTTATGCGACCTCTCAACATGGAGATCTTTGACAAGGCAAGGCAGAACGGATGCATCAAAAGAATCCGTCAAACGACTGCCAACGTCATAGCCAGTGAAAAGAGAAGTTAGGGCAACAGCTTATCGCGAAGACATTTGCCATATTTCCTGCAAGATGCCAGCGCGTTATTGCAACATTTCCTTAGCGTTATTGCATCACTCTTTCAATTTTCTGTCACAAGAAGCTATCAGGGGCTCCTGGCATCGCTACTGGGAACAAGAGGACGCTAATTACTAGGGGCTCCACTCTTCTTTCACTTGAGGCAAGAGACGTGGAGCACCAGGATGGGATCCATGGGGTGAAATCGGGCAAATTGGGACAGCGGAAAGCGGTGCAGATGTCCGATGGGATAGGTCTTTTGTTGCTGTTTAGGTTTAGGAGCTGAGTTGACAGGCGTTAACAAGAGTTTATTGTGCATCCAATTTTGTTTGCATTTACATGATGTTGCATGCATGTTTACTTGATCTCGTGTGACTTCAAGACTTCAAGTGAAATGGAGGACTTTGCGGCAAAGTCAGGCGATAGAAGCCGAAAAGCGTCGGATGACCAGTGCAAACACGCGGGCGCCCCTTGTCTGGGTGAAAGACATTGGTCAATAGCTTTTAGGACGAGTCATCCCCGAGAGAGAGGGAGAGAGAGAGAGAGGAGCTTTTTTCTCTTTCTATTTGTAAATGTCCAATCGCTTTTGTTTTTGGACCGGCCATTCTTCTTAATTTCTTCTTTAAAAGGGCATTATTTGCATGTAGGTCATATGGAGTCGGTTCGTACTAGTTTCTCGTGCCCTTGTTGCAAGGAGTGGGTACTGGACCAAGATCGAAGACGACTATGAAGGTCAGGGGCCATGGGTCAATCTCATGCAAGTTCATCGAGACGTGCAGCCCCTTCTGAGGCGTTGATGTTGATGATGTGATGAAAGCCAGGGAAGAGCTTTTGAAAGTCCAGTTCCACAGGCACGAAATTGTCATTGTGGTGGTTGTTTGAGTTGTTTTGGATTGTTTTGGTGTTCCTGCGTTCCCTTTGTTCTTCCTTTTGTATGTTCATTTCTTGGACTTGCAAACAACGCACAAAGAAGACGTACAAAAGCACGCAATGACATGAACAAGTACAACAACCGTCACAAGCTCCACCTATGACACCACCACCACCGCAGCAGCAGCAGCAACAGCAGGAAGGAGCAGCACCAGCACCAGCACCACAAAGAACAAGTGCAAGAACAGGAACAAAAGCATCCAAACATCTTAAATAAGCAACAATAACAAGAATGGAGTGCGAACAGTCTACCTCTTGGCTTAAAACTTAGGTTGGACGGCGAGAAGAAAGGCTATCTTGGAAGCTTGGCACAGACTTGCTTCATGCAATAGTGCGCTTTGCATAATGCGATCCTCACCCTATCTTGAAATATGTACCGTCATCACCAGCGTGTGAGGTGAAACACAATGCACGCCGCGCTTTGTGTGTTGCATGTCTTGGGGTCTGAGTGTACATTGTGGCGGATTGCAACATAGACATCTCTCAGCATCTTTTCTTCTTTCTGGGCTGTGCCCACCACTTTGCATGCTTCGTTGCCTCGTCCAGAGTATCAGATTGCACCTGTGGCGTGACATGCTGTGTTGCAACAGCGCGCCAGGACAAATTAAGGCTGCATTCAGAAGTGCATGTGTAAGCCGCATATCTAGAAAGCTTGTCGAACAAGAGTTCT